TTCCTATGCTATTTTAACATATGTTAATCTTGTTTTCTGCTGTGCCGAAATTATTTAATAAATCACATTGCATTAATGAGGTTTGTCTTGGTGAAAAGATCAGGCTTTTCCAGAAAGGAGTCCCATGCGCTGTCAGCTCACATGGGTCCCATCCTGGCTTCTAGGGCCCAGGGTCAGCTTGGAGAGATGGGAGGGCCCAGGGTCTGTGTGGGGAGAGATGGGAGCGCCTGAGTGCCTCGGACACCCTGCTCCACACTGTCCCTCCTGATGCTTTCTGCCTTGAACCCAAAGACACTGCAGCCTGTGGGTCTCCTGAATAATGAGGCAAAAGTGATGCCACCAGGCTTCTGAGGCCAGGCATACAACATGCCAAGGAAACAGCTTCTGCCTGGACACCAGAGCCCACCCTACCCCCACCCTTCTGCCACGTGTCCATGTTTGCTCCAGCACCAGCCATCATGTTGTGAGGAAGCCCAACCATGGTGAGACTGAATGCTTCGTCTCAGGCACTCAGCCCGGCCACAGGCACTCAGGCCGGCCAGGCCCTCCACTCACCAGCACTGACCTCTGGACCTGTGAGTGACCCTTCAAGTGAAGGCAGCCGCAGGACCACATCTCCCAGTGAGGCCTTGACATTATAGAGCAAAGACGGCCAACCCTGAGGCAGTGCCCCGTCTCCAATTCAATGAGACACGATAAATCATTGCTATTTTAAGTGAAGCTTTAGGGTGACCTGTTACACATCAGTGGGTAATATAGGAAGTGCAAGGAATACATGGACAGGGAAGGTGGGGTGTCCGCTGAGCCTGAAGAGGGGGATCTCCAGAGGCTGTCCAGGAGTCCAAGGCCAAGCCTCAAGAAGTGGAGGCTGGATTTCAACTCAGCCTTTCAGGGAGGTCATTTTAGGACAGGTGACCTTGACAGACACACTGGTAGCACCATCACCTGCACCTGTATAAAGCACAATACAGCTGCTGACCCTCACTTAGCTGTGATCATGCCAGGCTGTGGATTCGAAGAACTTTATGTTTACTTTTTTTTTTTTTTTTTGGAGACGGAGTCTCGCTCTGTCACCCAGGCTGGAGTGCAATGGCGCAATCTCAGCTCACTGCAGCTCACTGCAACCTCCGTCTTCCAGGTTCAAGTGATTCTCCTGCCTCAGCCTCCTGAGTAGCTGGGACAACAGGCACGTGCCACCACACCCGGCTAATTTTCCTATTTCTAGTAGAGACGGGGTTTCACTATGTTGGTCAGGCTGGTCTCGAACTCCTGACCTTGTGATTCACCCACCTTGACCTCCCAAAGTGTTGAGATCACAGGCATGAGCCACTGCGCCCGGCCTCCTCCCTTATTCCCTAAGTGGTGATGCTATCAGGAACCCCATCTGCGTTTCAGGAACTTGGGCAGGGAAAGGTAACACAGCAGGAAGTGGGTGAGTGTGGGGCAAAGGAAGAGAGATCAGATTGCTACTGTGTCTACGTAGAAAAGGAAGACAAAAGAAACTCCATTTTGATCTGTACAAAGAAAAATTGTTCTGCTTTGAGATGCTATTAATCTGTAACATTAGCCCCAATCCTGTGCTCACAGAAACATGTGCTGTATGGAATCAAGGTTTAAGGGATTTAGGGCTGTGCAGGATGCACGCTTGGTAACAGTCATCACCATTCTCCATTCTCTATTAATCAGGGACACAATGCACTGCGGAAAGCCGCAGGCACCTCTGCCCGAGAGAGCCTGGGTATTGTCCAAGGATTTCCCCAACTGAGACAGCCTGAGATATGGCCTCCTGGCAAGGGAAGGCCTTACTGTCCCCCAGCCCAACACCCGTACAGAGTCTGTGCTGAGGAGGATTCGTAAAAGAGCAAGGCCTGTTTCCCACATGTCCCTGGGAACAGAATGTCTCGGTGTAAAGCCAACTATTCGTTTATTCTAAGATAGGAGAAAACTGCCCTGTGGCTAGAGGCAAAATATGCCAGTGGTGATACTGCCCTGTTACTCTTTGCTACACTAAGATGCTGGGGTAAAGACAAACCTAAATCTAGCCTACATGCACATCCGGGCACAGTACCTGAACTTATTCATGATGCATATTCCTTTACTCACATGTTTTCCTGCTGACCTTCTCCCCACCATCACTCTGTTCACCCTGTTCTCCTGCCTCACTCTCCTTGCTGAGATAGTGAAAATAGTCATCAATAAACACTGAAGGAACTCGGAGACCGGCGCCGGTGCAGGTCCTCGCATGCGGAGTGTGCCAGTCCCCTGGTCCCACTGTTCTTTCTCTATACTTTGTCTCTGTGTCTTCTTTCTTTCCTCAGTCCCTCGTCCCACCTGACGAGAAATACCCACAGGTGTGGAGGGCAGGCCCCTTGCAGGTGAGTCTGTGGCTGCTCTGCCCAAAGTCAATCCTGAGGGGGTGAATAAGGGACAGGGTTTACAGCACCAGTGCCCATGGCCAGCCTATGGACCAGGGTGAGCTGCAGACAAAATTCCCTCAAATCCCAAGGAAATCAGGACAACAGAGACCACATGATTAGTTCTTAATGAGGTTATGTGTACTACAAAATTTTATTGTTCACGTTCCTCATCCTGAAATTATGGGATACAGCCTAGCAGTTTGTCCTTACTTGGCAGAGTGTGTAACCCTGGCTCTCATACTGAGCCCCTAAGACTCCTTTTGGTTTTACTGGTGTCAGGGATTATAGTCAGCAAACCCCACTCATTTACAGGGTCAGGTGCACAGGGCTGAGCTGGAGGGTTAGGGTCAGGGCCCCTCAAGAACTCTGGTCGGGCACAGCAGCAGCAGGGTTGCCACTCTCCCTTTATGGAATCCTTCTTAATACAACAAGAGGCCGGGCACGGTGGCTCAAGCCTGTAATCCCAGCACTTTGGGAGGCCGAGACGGGCGGATCACGAGGTCAGGAGATCGAGACCATCCTGGCTGACA